AATGGAAGCTTGTGAAAGGTTCAGTTTTACAGCCATACCTGCTTATTATCTGATGTTTACAAGTGCTGAACTGTGACATAATTTATTTATTTTTAAATGGTAAAGTGCTCCAGACATTTTTTTAACCTGTAATATTTCTATTGTGGGCGTAAAAACTCTGAAAACTTCCATTTCTTGTCAAACTAATGTGTCCTTCACAGTCTTTGCTCATTACAAAGTCATAGAGTGAAGGTCACAATTTATTGTTATTATTGTTTTAATTATTATTATCATTTTTATTATGATTATTAACTAAATCCAATTTACACTTCTCATTATATATGCATGTGTGTGTGTGTGTGTTCAAGGTTAAAGGTTCTTTATTGACATTTTTATCACATGTGGTACATGAGGTGGAACAAAATGGTTTACACAAGCTCCCATATACACCCGAACATAGACAAAATATAAAATATAAATATAAACTGTATACAAGGATCTAAGACACAGTATATGCCAAACACTAATAATGTACAATAATACAGTATATTAAACAGCAACTCAAACATGAGTTTGTATGAACAGATGGTTATGAATACAGGCAATAAATCAGCAGCATGGATAAGCAGCAGCATGGATAAGCAGCAGCATGGATAAGCAGCAGCGCAGATAAGTCACATATCACCAGTTAAAGTGGCATTACAGTGATGGTGTGTGTGTGTTAAAATGTATCTTCTTTTTCTGCTTCAAAGTTGTAAACATTTATAGATCATGTCTTGATATAAGTATCGCTTATGCACAATACATTTTAGATTCGTTTAAAATATTGAACAGGAAATGGGGAAGTATTTGTAAAATGTTCTTTTATTTTCATTATATACCGTCTAAATCCCAGCAAATAACCATGTCTCTTATTTTAAAACAAGATTACTTTTATCAAACTCTATTTATTTATGCACAATTTGAAAGATTATTTGTAAAATATTTGTTAATTTTTTCATATCTTCAGAATATTAAAAGAAAATTGCCATGTTAACTTTGTCTAATAGTTTTCTTGGAAAAAATGTCAGGAATGCAAAATTCTGATTACAGTGCCTTAAAAATAATTAAACGGATAATTTAGTAGACTTTCAGGACTGATTCCACCACAATGAATTAAACAAAGACTTTTGTGCCGTTTCCCTGTGTGATTTTAAATTAAGACCATGTATAATTTAGATAATAGAAAACTGGTCTTCAAAACATGGGGTTACAGATAAAAAAAAAAAAAGAAAAAGTAATTTTATGGCATTCTGTTGTGTGCTGCTAAATAATCTCTGTGGTCTTGTCTCCTCCAAAGCTTAATTATACACTTATCAGCAAAATGTAACTGCAGAATGTGCGCAACATTCTGTATGCTGTCATAGTGGTGATTTTATTTAATAAATTACTTATTTAAATAAAATACACAATAAATAAAATCAAACAAAAGTTTATTAGGGCAGATTTCTTTTAAATTGTCTTTTTTTTGTTAGTTGAATCTATAAGATAAATATGAATATTTAGCCAATTTTAAACTGTTATTTAAATTGCGTCAAAATCTCTAATCAAAGCTATGATCTAAATAGGAACTCTGGACTGAACTGGTCTGCTTATGGGATTTTTTATCAGTCTCATCTTTAATAATTTAATCTGTTTTATAAGAGCTTTTGTTGACATTGTGCATAAAGCGTGAACATTTAACATTTTCCCTGCACCAGACAGACCGGGCACCACAACGCAAAAATGCTTTCACTTTATCTCAGTAACACAAAGACTCAGCTGGGAGCTCTTTGCAACAGTTTATCCATTCTCACCTTAATTGTTCCTGCCACACTGAAACATTTAGACATATTCATATCGACAACATGCTGGTATCTGAACTGAAGCTGGTCCCAGAGTTCTTCATTGAGTCTTCTCACAGCATCATAATTGTTTATCTTAATCACTTAAAGAAGACAAATCTCTCCTCGGAGACTCGTAAAACAGATTCTAACTAAATTGCTAAAAAGCAATCACCCCTTCAGGAAACAGGAGCTGCAGTAAAATGTATAAACAAGAGGTCAGAGGTCATATTTACAGTATTTTTCTTTGTATAAGTCATAGGTTTTTGCATAATTTACATGCCCTGCGACTTATAGACCGAAGCGACATTTATGGATTTTTCCTCATATTTATAAACCATTTTTTGGCTATGACTGTTTTTATTCATTCTAACTGGAAAAAAAAAAGAAAAAAGAGCAGTACCACTTTCAGCCACTTGATGGTAGCAGAGTAGTAATAGAAGTATGGCATGCTGTTGTAGCATGTAATAGGGAAACCTGGCTATAATGACAAATTCAAAAAAGTTCAAGACAAAAACAAGTGGACTTTATTTATTATACTTTATACTTTTTTCTTGAACTTTTTTGAATTTACCATGTCCTGGTTGACTGAGAATCTTCACCAGCTTTTAATGATACAGTCGGCTTGCCATAGACTTCCCACCTTGGTTCTGCTTGCTGCTTGGACCGACCGTCAATCCAGCTGCACCGCACCGGCGAAATGCAGCTAATTTTAACATTAAAGTGCATTTATTAAGCAAATGTTAGATTGATACACACCAATATAATTTAGAGCAATGTTAAAGACTTGTTAAATTCCTCCCGTGCACGCTCCCACGGCTGCCATTTGGCAGCCCATCAGATTTTGGCACAACACCAACCCACATTTCTGGGTTTGGCCCACATTTCCGGATTGTCAGCAGTGATGCGTAACAAACGCAATGTCAGCGGTGATGCATAATAGATGCGACTTATAAGGCGAAGCGACATATTTATGGATTTTCCACTTTATTAGACAAATATGGACTGATGCGACTTATATGGCGGTGCGACTGGTACGGCAGAAAGTACAGTAACACCCCAATACTCTTTGGACTTCATATTCTGCTTGTTTGAACTAAAAATTAACAGATTTACTTTGTGACATGCTTCACAATGAGACTGTAAATATCTTATTGTGAGAATGAGAACACTTTACTAAATCCCATTCTGATGGCTTTTCCTCCTATTTGAGGCAATAAAGTCAAATTGGTCCAAATCTTTAAAAGCTTATTTCTTCCAAATTCATCAACTTCCATTTCCCCCTGTAGCGGTATGGGGTGTAAATATATGTTTATTAATTATGAGCTATAACCTTGTTTTTGGGCACCACCTCTCTATAGAGGAAATAAGTCTAATCAGTCTCTTGCCCCAAATTAGCAAAGTAACGTGGATTATTTTCCTAAAGGGATTGAATCAATTGATACACACAGATAAGCCAAAAATAATCACATTCAGTTATGTTTTCATGTTTTTTTTTATTATAAAAATAATAACGTGGGATAAGGATAGTGAAATATATGCATAACAACAGTACTTATTATCAAATTACTGAATCAAAGATCTAATTATAATTAAAGTTAATTTGAAACTTTAAAGGCAGACTTAGGACTGGTTTCTGTTTGCGAAGTGGTTAAAATATATCTAAGGTGAGCTGCTTCTAAGTGTGGACACCTTGACCTTAATCAGGTCTCTCTTGTTAATGAGTCCTCGAGGCTCAATGGGATTTACCTGTCTAAATAAAGGTTGAATGAATGATCACTAGCAAAGCATTAGAAAAGCTTTCTTCTACCAGGATGTAGATAGGTATTGAGTGGTTTCCTACAGCTGCTAAGATACCAGCAAAGTCTCAGATGTTCTGGTGACTGAGAGGTTGAAGTTTCCTCAAAGTTCACCTGTTATTGGTTGGAGGAACAAAGGTCCATGGTTACTGGTTCTGGCAGTCAGCTGGGATTTACCACTTCTCTACAGTGGGATTCTAGTTGCATGGTAAACAACTGGAGCCCTGGGTTATGGTGACGGTTAAATGCTGGGTTCTTTGAATGCCATATTTTTCTTTTTGTCTGACTTTCTCTCTTGCAGGTACTTCTTTCAATTCTCCGAAGTCAAGGATTCTTCTCACAAGACAAAACTCAAGTCTGTGTTCAAACAGACTGAGGATTGGTTAAGCCACAAGAAAGGGCATAGTTTTTTTTTTTTTTTACTTTCTCAACCAGTCAGGTCGGAATTACAGGTAGATTTTGAGGCGGTTTAGAAGCTTAGTCTTTGGTTTTTTTTTTTTAACAAGACTTATTAAATAAATATAAAATCATTGCGTTCTGCCTCAAAAGTTTCATTCTCAAGAGAAAACAAGACAAATGTATTATCTTGAGAGGATTACTTAAACACAAATTTCTCGTGAATATACATTCAAAATATGACAGCTTTTGAATTAAACTTAAAACATGCAATGTTTTAACAGAGGTGTTACCGTTGACAATAAATCTCTTGAAAAAGCAACGTCATTAGACGACAAAGGCTTTTTCTTTTTGTTCCATCTTCCCATGAGAACGAGACTGAGAAAAGTACTTCTTTTTGATAAGGGAAAATATCAAATGTAGCGAGTTCGGATGTTTAGAAACTCCAAGGTTAAATTGAACAAAGCCTCTTTAAAAACGAACTCTCAGTTTCATGGGAAATGAGTTCATATTGTGTTTGTGAGGTTAACACAATAAGTTTTATTTTTTAATTACAGTAGTGTCAACTTGGGAAGTTTGTGAACTGAGACGAATATTTGTAAAATGATGTCTGTTCGTTCCCAAGAGAAAATATTTGTCGTATCGTAACAGTTTCAAACACAAGGAATGATGTTTGTCTGAGGGGTGTGTCCCCTTACACTCCCCTAAAAAATCCTCTAGATTTTCTGCATTTCACCATAAAAAAAAAATCAGAATCGTACATGTTTATTTCCCCATTTAAGTCACGAGAGACTTTTGTCTCATTTGAGCATTTTGTGTGAAAAGAACAAAATGTTCTCATCTATAGATGTAACTTTTGGAGCACGAGTTGATGGAAGAACAACAACGTCTGTTCATGCAACAAGTGAGAGAAAGGAGCTGGACCTAACCCAGAATGAGTCAAGAGACAAAAACGGTGACCAACCTGTATGTTGTCGAAGGACGATTTGTTAGTGACGTCGTACAGCAAAAGGAGAGCTGAAAAAAATAAAATATTATAAGTACATAAAGCAGCAGCAAGAGTAAAATGTTAAACACTTTGATGCAAAACATTTCAATTTATGCTCCAACCTCAATTGCTTAAACCCATTGAAAATAAAAAGCAGCTATTTTGTACTTTCACTGTCGGCAGAGGGCTTGTTAACTGGTTTTTGTTCTGCAGAAAACCAGCGGGGAGGAAAAATAAATGAGACCACAATGATAACATGGCTCAGCCAGACGTGTTACAAGTCTCTCCTGTAATTTGTCATCACTCAATGGTTCATGGCAAAGATTGTGAGAAAAATGGAACAAATTTTCTCTCTGAGTAAAAATACAATATATATTTTGAGAAGCCAATTTTTTTATAGATGGAGTCAAATGAGAAAAGATTAGTGCACTAAAGAAAGACTGTAAACAGATAAACTAAAAAAGCAAAGCAAATATGAATAAAGCAAGCTAAACTGTTAGAAACCTGAAGGAGGAAGGAAAATAATAAGAAAAATGTGACGTGCAGTTTATGATTCATTTTGCCCCTTCAGTACCATTTCACCTCATGCACTCAATAAAAATCTTCATATATTCCCATTACAAATTTAGCTTTCCAATAAAATATGCATCACATTATAAATCCTAAAGTCACAAATCAGATTCTGAAAATGCAATCAGAGCAGCATCAAATAACCCTGAAGTACTTCCTTCTACAGCCTAGCAGAGAAAAGGAAACACACTTTAACTGTGAGTTGCAAAAACAGTTAAATTTTTGTTATTTGTAGAAAGTCATTTATTTAAAATATGCATGCCTCACTAAATTCACTAAATCAGATCTCAGATGTTAGTTTCTGAACTATTCCTTTTTCTTTACATGCTCACTTTTACAAATTAGACAATTCAAAATACCATACCAAGCTCAGATAAAAACAAAAACATTAGCCTAGCATGCCACTTCTAAAGCAGGACTGATCGACTAAATTGCTCAGGGGTCCAAAGTTCCTGAAAGCCAAGAGCTCAGGGGCCAGACATCCAGCAGTTAATGCCATTAAGTAAGTTTGTTTTATGATTTAAAATCTAGTTTTATTAAAAAAGGAACTCATTGGTGGGCTGAACAGAGTTCACCTATTGGTCTATTAATCTGCAGCAGCAAAGAGGAATTATTGTAATAAATATGAAAGGGAATATGGGGCAAACAGAGGGAACTTATCTAATCTCTGCTGATATTTATTCATCCAGGACACAAAAGAAGTGTTCTGGTCATCATGTACTCTCTATAAAACAACACATTAATAAATGTTAAAATGCGTTTTAAACAATTGTCGCAATAAATATTTGACTTTTGAAGAATCAACTTTGTACGCTTTAGTTGAATCAGAAGATTTGAAGGGATTAACTTTCATGAATCCAATTCAAGATGCTCAAGATTAGAGTCTTCAATGAAATTAAACTCAAAGCAGTCCGCGCCTCAAATAATTAACGTCAACTTACTTTTATGTATATGAATGTTTTTGTTCAGTGCCCTGACACGATTTCGGTTGTGACGGCACTACATACAGCAAATAAACTGAATTGAACTGAACTGAATTCATTTTAAACAAACTTTAAACTTTCAAATTAATTTCATTTTGATAATTTATTTGAGTCATTCAACTAAATCAGTATAAGTATAGCACTTTTCAAGCTCAAGATAACTCAAAATGCTTTACAAAGGCAACAAAACAAAAGATACAAAACTGGACAAAAATATGAAGAAGTTAAAAAAATTACAAAAACAGTTTTGATAAAATACAAAAAAAAAAAAAAAAGTTCCTTTTGTACATTGCCTAAGCAGTTAATAGAATCTAAAATTGTTGCATGAACAATGGAGCTACCAGTAACCTCAACAAAAATTACTTACTACCTACTGGTAATTTGGTTAATTAAACAAGTAAAAGAAAATTAGATCAACTAACCCAGTTAATCTACTTTAGTATGATTTAAGTTTATAAAAGTCTGCAGAGGCTAATTTAAGATGAACCTAAACTTAAACCTAAAACTTTTTAAGAGACTACAGAGAATAATTGAATTTTGCAAACTGATAAAAACACTGGATGACTCTTCACACTTTCTCCTTCACAGCTGACAAAGTGTACCCCCACATAAATCAAGTTGGAGGGGATTTTAATTCTCCCATCACTCCAGCTCGTATAACAGACAGGAAGGAAAGTGATCAGCATTTTAAAGGGCTCTGTGCAGGAGGAGTGGACTTCCTGTGATATGTCTCTTACCACAAGAGGAAAAGTAATTAAAAGTCCTGCCAAAGACTTACAAGGTTAGACTCTGAGAAGAAGTGATGAACTATCAAACACATAACAACTCCACAGGCATCATGATGCACTAAAATAAATCCTGCTGCACATATTCATTCTGATTCCCAAAACAATGGAACCATTAATGAGCATCATACACAAACCAAAAATATGTGGTTTAAAAAAAAAAAAAAAAAAAAATGAAAGACGCATGTAATCAGTGGAATACACTTTCACTTTGTGCCTACTTTAAATTCAACACACAGATTCAGACAAAGGTTTATTTTATTCCAAAAATATCATTCACCTAAGACCAAATGATTCCTTTCCATAAAACTGCAAACTTGTATTATAACACTGTTTATGAAGTAAAAAATAAAAAATAGTCACAATTTAAAGCTTGAGATAATGCTCCGATATGAGTTATAGTCATAAAATTATCCAGTTTTTGGTAATAAATGTGGCGTGAAGAAACGGTCTACTGACATGAACTCTGAATCTGAGGGTGTCCATTCAGTTCACCTCAAACTGCTTTCTTTAAACGTTACTTCTGACCTGGATGATGTCTGGTTGTTTCTTCAAGTTGATTGTCTTTGTATGGCCAGTCAACTATACTAATTTAAAATATTTTCTTTTATTCTTTTAAGAAATAAAAACATATTCACAAATGAAGTTTGTTTTATTTGATTTTGACGTGTGAACGTGAATAATGTTGAATATTTGAAATCATCATGAAATCATGTGAAATGCTCATTGGTGGGCACAGCTAACCATAAAGTTAGCTTCGCAAACCACTACAAATTTTAGCTTTGCTAACACTAAACCGCTAAACAGATAAAAAATTAGCAGAAGCTAATGCTACAGTGCTAACTTTTGTCATACACTGCTTTCATTGACAATGTAAGACCGTCTGTAATGTGACAACATTGTAAGTGAACACAACTCAAATAATTTACATCAACAACTCACACATTGATGCATTCAATGTGTGTCGGACGTTTCCCTCATGTCATTCATTATAATGAATTAACTCAATTTAGTAATCCTCTTTATGGTTATAAAACTAACTACAAAGTTGCTGTGCATCATCATCATTATTCTGTCAATAATAAATTTGGTTGTACTCAAGTGTGAAGAAATGTGTGAGAGAGTCACATCCCAGAGACAGTGTGAGTGCTGCAAAGCATGCTGGGTAGGAATTATGTGCGCAATGTTTCTGGCTATGATGTTGCTGAATGTGAAAATGGGGTTTTCGTGTTATTTTCATGTTCTGGTTGGATTTGGAATAAATGTTAAAGTGTCTGTTATTGGTTGTAAACTGACAACATGAGTCAGAGACTGTTTGAGGTATGTATGAGAAATAAAAAAGCACTGCTAGGTTGGTGACATCACTGGGAGGAACCCAACGTTGCTTATCTGCATGGCATAGGATGGATCTATTTAAATCACTATTCTCCTGTACAGAAGCTATTAGCTTTTATTTAAATCCTGCATAAAGTATTATCCACTAAACAAAAAGTTAGTTTTGCCATTAGTGGGTTAGTGGAACCATGCCCACCACTGGAAGCGGCATAATATGTTGTAACAAACTTTCTCTGTTCAGTTTTTCAGAAAATAAGAACTCTTTAAAAGACACCTGTGTAAGTATTTTTGAGCCAGAATCTGCTTATGTCAGAGGGGAGTCATAAAAGCTCAAAGATTGCCAAAACATTTCTGAGAGCTGATAGTTCAAACAAAGTCTCTTTGTGTGACACTTGCAGTTTGCTTTAGCCATCCTGATGTCTGTCTCGTTTATTAAGTTTAAATGTCTCAATTGTAAGTTTCTTGGCCACCTTGGAGTCCAGGTGGACACCATGCACAATGCTTTGTGGTCTTTAATCACTTGACCCAAGAACCATCTTGTGCCTGATCACCTTCAATTAGGACAGATGATACTTGGCATGTATCAAGCAGCCACCACAGCACGTACCTGCATGAAGCCGAGATGTGCCATAAAAGATCCACGTGCAGGCCAAAGCCTTGATCTCTCACAAGCTTTCTTTCAAGCAACTCCTTTGTCCTTGGACTTTCTCTAGAGGCTATGCCCCTCTTAGAAAGTTTATCACAGGTTTCTCAGGTTTTACCTTTGACACAAACCCAATAGGTCACATCGATTTCACTGACAAAGACCAAACGCTTCTCCAAATTGTTGATGTCACTTTTTTTTTTTCATTTACCCTTTATTTATACAGGTAGTCTCATTGAGCCACGAGAACTCATTTTCAAGAGAGACCTGTTTTGGGAGCAGATGGGTGTTAAGGGCCTTGCTCATGGGCCCAGAGTGGGGCGAATGAGGGTGGGGGCACATGTGTGTGCTTCACCTACCCCACCCACATTTTTGATGTTGTCGGTACCAGGGCGTGAGCCGGCGAACTTCCGATCACAGGCCCACCTTCTCTAGCCTCTGAGCCACCACTCCCCCTATTTTCATCACTCCCTAAATTATTTATCTCTCCAGCCAAAATGTCAGAGCCTCAAATAGTCTCCACCTGATCCTTGTTCTACCATTTTGGAATGGATGGATCAGGTGGTGAAACATGCCGACGCTCTCAAAAATGACGAAGAATGCAAACAATTGAGCAAGACTCTTCTTAAGTATAAATATAATCTTTTGTTGACTGGCTGTCGTCTGACCACAATTCATGCAGTGCAAATAGCATCACCCAACTTTGTATGACAGTACAAGATCCCACTGGCATCCTACAAACCAGTACAGGAAACAATTGAGAATCAGTTGGAAAAAAGGACATAATCCATTCTTGAAGCTGTACTTACTCTGCCCCCTTGTGGCCAGTTTTAAAACCCAATGGTGAATGGTGGCTCACCATTGACTATCGCAGGTTGAACCAACAGGTTTCCTTGTCAACATGACCTGTGACATGTTTAGAACAAGCACTACCCAAATTGAACAAAGCCAAATATTTTTCAACTCTTGACATTGCATCTAGATTCTGGACAATCCCAAAATATGAGGATGACCAACAAACTGGCTTTCACTTTCGCAAACCATCAGTACTGTACACCTTCTTTTGAGTAAGATAATCTGGTCACATTAAATAATATCTCTCAACCAAATTCCTAAGGAAACTATTTATCAAAAAGTTGAACATTGTTTAAATCAGTGTGCGTATAGAAGCCAAAAAGATTCCTGCTCAAAGAATCAATTTTTGCCTTTGATAAAATTATTAATAGATCACTGACTAATTATTGTATTTTTTTTAATTCAACCTTTATTTAGACAGATAAGTCACATTGAACCTAGAAGACTCATTTACAAGTGAGATCCGTTTAAACAGACAAAAAATAATGTTAATTAATGCTTAAGTACGTAATTATGGTACTTGACTACTTTTTCAAACTAGTTATTCTCCAAATTATTATATTTTATCATTTGTGTTATTCAGTTTTGTTTATTGTTAGTGGATTATTCTTCTTTTGAAATAAAATTTAAAAAGGCAAATTCAGTTTTCTCCTCATTCGATATGATATTGTGAAAATAATTCTCTGTAATTTCTAATTCATCTTCAGCTGCTGAGTCCCTCCCTTCCTCCCTGCCTCCCTGCGTGCCTGCAAATAAAAGTATACTGAGTGCAGAAAATCATCACCCTTGTTTGTGTGTGTGTCACTGGTGCCAATGTCCAGCTATCACTGTGTGAGAGGCGGGGTACACCCTGCACAGGTCGTAAGTCCATCACAAGGATCATCAATCCTTTTGTCTGATAAACCGAATTTTCCGGACAAATAAAATTCAAAGGACATAATAGCTATCTACAACAGGTTAGATGTTAATTGTTCATTATCATTCCACAGAACCTTATTTCAAAAGAACTGAGCTTGTGAAACCTCAAACTCTGAATGAAGACATCCCTCAATACACTTTTGCTTTGATCACCAAAACCACGAGAAACAAAATATTGATCAATTAAAGGTTTGTACATTGACTTGAACAGACAATGACAGCAAAATGAATAAACGTGAACACACATACAGACTGGTACTCGGGTAGAAACTCAGTCTGATTTGTGATGACTGATCACATTATCGAGGACTCTCAGAATCTTCAATGTCCTTCCTTCTTTGAAATGAGCTATAAAACGTCAGCACTTAATAAAACACAGCAAGTGGAGAAAAAAACAACAACATTCATCTAAACCCGGCATGAACATACATTCAAACAGTGACCTTTAAAATCTCATCAAAACTCCATTTCACTGCACAGATAAATTGAAAAAAGCTGCAAAACAAACCCACAAAATCAAGTATACTTGATTTATTTTGTGTACAAAGTTCCAGTTTATATCACAACTGATTTCAGGGATTTGCACAGAAAGTCAGAGGTTTAATACAAATCCAGTTAGTTCTGATATAAAAATAAAAAAATCATGTATAGGCATTTCTATAAAGACAATCCCCTTCAATCCAGTTTAATTTAGAGCGCATATTTCATTTAGTAGCAACTTTAAAACACCAGTATGTCAAAAGCAAATTGCATCAAATAACTGAATTAAAAATCTACCATCATAAGCATACATAGGGTAAAGTAAAACGTCTCCATTTAAATACAAAGAAATCTCTAGATCAGACTCAGAAAGGGAAACCATCTGCATCGACTAGCTCAGGTAAAAAAAAAATCAGATCTGCACATCAAAAACATTATGTTCTAACAAATATGCAACATATGGCAAATAAGACCAAGTTGCTGCAAGAGGACCAAAACCTCTACAAAAGAACCTGCACCTATAGTTGCAGATTAATGGTCTAGCTAAGTGTCTCAGCACTCCTTTAAGGAAATCATACCACCCACTGCCTTTCATGTCAGTTTTCATCTAAAATCAACTCATACTGAGATGAACCATTGTTGTCTACAGTTACAGCTAAAGTTTCAAGCTAAAACATGGTGCAATGTGCAGTCCTTGAAGGACATGTTGGAGGTAATGCTCAGATACCACTGCACTAATTACTATTATTTCATTTATGTAAAAATATCCGTTATTGCAAAATTTGGGATTCCTAAGGTCAGCTGATTGTTGCGGCCATCTTGAAATGGGTTGACTCTTAAACTTGATCAGTTTGGGAAGCTCATCTGATGCTTACTTTTTGAGGCTTTCATTAAAACAACATTTTGATAAAGCTGCAGACAAACGAATACATGCATGGTTCACATGGAGGCACACATGCACACACAGATGCAGGAAAGCATCTCTTGCTTTTGGCAGCGGGCTATATTTATAGTTTTCTGTAATATAAAGTACCATTATTACAAAATATATAGGAGAGTCTCACCATTGGCATCCCGATAGTAGGCATGAGTGACACTTCGGAAGCGTTCCTGTCCAGCTGTGTCCCAGATCTGCAGATACGAAGAAAATAATCACCTAATAAAGAAACACGTTTCTATTTTTGAAACAAGTCTCATGTTTGCTGGAGATTAATGAGAAAAAAAAAATAAACAGTCAATACTGATGAATGTTGCAAAAGCCTAAAAATACCAGTCTGCTGTCTTAAGCATTAAAAATGAGTTTCACTCTGAAATATATTAAAGCATAATATAGTCATTGTCTTAATGGATTCCCATAAATGCATCCAGCAGAGAGACAGAGAGAGTGCAGCATTGAAACTGTAATCATGCTTCAGGCAAATAAAGAATGGCAAAAAATAATTGACTTTTTTTTAGCTCCGTTTTGATCCATAACTCCTAAAACAAACCAACAAATAATTAAAAACAAAACTCCAGTCTCTTATTTTTACAGCTAATTGCCAGTATGATCCATCTGCTGATTGTTGCTTTGGCTGCAGCTTCCAGACGAGGTTGGAAACATCATTGGTATGCAGGTGCTTTTGTGTCCATCACACAAACAAGACATTAATCTTAATGTTTCATTTTTTTCTTTTCTCTTTTTTTTTTTAGCTCTCAAATCTGCTTATAACTTTTATTTTGTTGCCTTTACCTGGAGCTTCACCTTGACTCCATCAATGTTCAGGACTTTATTCTGAAAAATAAAGAAAAAAAAGGACAAAATAAATGAGATTAAATGACTTGCAGCAAACATAAACTTATGGTCAAGGAAAAATCAATTAAGGGTTGTTTTGGTTTGTGGTCAGGCACTTGTCTGAACAGCCTCTTCCCCTCAGCCTCTCATCCACCTGTCACACTGTTCTCTGCTGCCCTCTCCATCAGTATTGAATATCTTGCTTCTTTTCCCGTTTCGGCAAATGAACCCCCTCTCTGCTCTCCTTGTTTCCAGTCGCTTTCCTCTGCGTCGGTCTATTCCAACATCACACGTCAAAAAATCAAATTCAGATAAATTTAAGAGAATTTCCAGCACAGTTTGCCATCGAATTGTCAGAAATCTTAGACCATCATTACTCCTGCAGAAAGAAGCATCAATCTTTAACAGACCAGTGCTGCAAAGTCATTTTTAAAAACAGGCCAAATCATTACAAGCGCAAAACAAAAACGTATCAAAGATAGTCCTTGCAAATAGTGGCAGCTAAAAAAAACACAATAAAAAACAAACAACATACAGGCTGTATTGGATTTGAACCAGTTTGACATGACTGTCGGTGAGGAAGAGGGCCGGCATCGGAGGAGGGGGCGTGCCAAAGAAATCATCTTAGCACCAACATAACTGGTTTGTTCCACTTTGGAGTAAGCTGTTTGGGGAATAATCAGTTGTGTTGTGCGTTTCCTTGACTGATGAAGCCTTCTGGATGGAAGGTGAAATGTTTCAGTAAAAAAAGAAACTGTCCAGATGACCTGACTGAAAATTGTTGGATACAGGCTGTATTTTAACCGACTGGGCTTAAAACTTGAACCAAACCAAAAACAATGCACATACAGTTCTGAATAAGTATCAAAAAAGTATTACTGTAAAAAAAAAAAATATAATAATGGGTGTGCTCTGTTTGCATGTGTTAAAAAGCCTGCTTCGGCGATTTCAACAGGAGGTTGGCTTGAAACACAGTGAAGGCTACCTATGGGACAGATCTGGTTGGCAGGCCACAGACTGACAAAGTCCTCTGGACGGGGGACAAAATGTTTCTTCACTTAAAGAAACAGGTCCAGATGACATGATTTAACCATTTTTTGTTGTCATTTACCTGGAGGATTACGCTTACAAACATTTTTCTTCCCCTCTTTTTTTAAATTTTACTTCTCAGCATCAACTTTGCTTTTCTGTTCACCTGAGGAGCAGAGAAGCAAACTATCTTCAAAGCGTCCCGTTCTCTTTGTTTTGTATCAATCAGATGCTGCCGTGTTGTAGTGTTAGCAAGAAATGGCTCTCTGCTTCATGTGAAACCCACTTTGACTGACGTCATCATCAGTCTCTGTGCACAGGATGCGTCTCCACCATGATGGAAGACAAACAAAGCACATTAACAAAATAATTACTTGACTCAACGACAACTCATCTGCAATCATTTTACTGAGTCTGATGGTCCAGAATTTGGAGGAAAAGGTGATGCAACTCAAAATTTAAAATATGTGGAGATGTTCGAGCCAGCTAACAAGCAATGATAATGGCATGCAGTTGGTGAACAACTTGGATCCCTACAAAAGATGTGCACATACGGAAATGGACAAACAATTCAAATCAACAGCTGCTAATTTCCTATCACAACATAGTAAATGATCTGGTTTTACCAGAGCCTGTTTGTTCACTGGTGACAACTTCAAGGATAAAAGTTTACAGGCCTATAATTATTGTTTCACTGGCTGGATGCAGAAATCGGTCACACTGAGGAATGGTTACCACACCATAATAGGAAGGGCAAGCACCAAGTAAACAGACAAACTTCTAAAAAAGCAAGTTTTAAAAAACATTTTTACAAGAAACTTTTTTTTTCCCTAAAAATGTGCATATGAGTAATCAAAATGATTCAATTTCTGTACAGAATGAGACTTGTAGTAGAAGTTCCCTCAACCTCTTCATTTCCCATCCCATTCCTGGGATCTTCCTGAGACCAGCTGCTGACCTTCTAATTCCCCGGTTCCTGAGGAGAGAGACGATATTTAACCTCGACAAAAAGCTGCTGGTCTTCCAGCTGAGAACACCGACACAGATAGTCTCTGTTGACGTCTTCGGCTCATTTAAATCCCGGAGAATCACAAAGGGGGAAATGCCATCCATATTCATGGGGGCGAATTTAAGCTGCAAGCTGAGGAGTCTGATAGGAATCAGTCTCAAAAGACTACTTCCTTGTTGTTGTTGCTAAAAACAACCTAAAATGTGCTCAGAGGCTTCATAAATATTTAGTGACCCAGAAAAAGAGTCTTATGATCACATCACAGGAAGGTTTTCTGAGTGGCTGGTGCTGTCTGATTGCTTTGATAATGCTGAATATGTTAGGAAAAAAAACACTTTAAATCAGGCAGAACCTAATATAGCTGCATGGACTGGGTGTGTATTGAAAGATTGAACTGAGTCAGACAAAATCCATGTTTCTCAAGTCAGTTTGCTGTGGTGGGATTAGGAATTATAATATTGCACATTAAAGGGTGCTTAAAAAAAAAAAAAGACTTTTACTTCCATTTTACATCTCAAACTTTTTCAGCTCAAACATTTTACAGGCTAACACACAACTCCTCTGCGCTGAGATTTCAGAAAACAGCTCCACTTTCAGCTCACTTTCGTTTCCTGAGCTGCAGCAAACACCTTCCACACAGAGGAACGGCTTCAAATACAAAGTGCTCTGCTTATCAGCAACACGCTGTACGTTAGCCGTTTAATGCCTCACGTTTCTCCTAAAGGCACACGACCGGCAAGCTCAGAAGAGAATCACTCAAACAGCACTTCACAGGGATCATAAATTACAGATGTATGAGGAGCTTTCAGAGGAGCCCGTGAAGTGTGAGCACATAAAACATTAATGGCCGCAGCACGAGGCAACTCAGGAACATCATGTCCACAAAGAGCTTATATATGTGACAAATTAACAGCACTGAGAAGAATTGGGAGAAAGTGGCCACAGGGTGATATTTTCTGAATGACTTTGCTGCTGTGATGACATCTCCCCTACACCCGACACACAAGTCAAATCTAACCACTGGGGCAACAAAGAACAGAAGACGGACATTTACAGCTCTCCTCTGCAGTAAATTCGTTTCCAGATGTCAAATCATGCACGGACTGACTCCGTTAGGTACACACAGAAACATATTGCTCTGAAAGAGCCAGTCCTGTCTGTATGTTTCTGTATTGTGTCCTTTACTTGCTGAGTTTCAGTGTTTGAGATGCATTATAACCTGTTGCTGTTTAAATGAATGACGTCTCAGCCCACGTGCATCTATTTCAAGTTAAAACTTAAATGGATGCACATTTATTTTATCTTGATGCTATTTTTATAGGCATGTCATTTTCTTCAATGCGATTATAACGGGTGTGTGACATGCCCGAAATTGCTTGGCAATGAAATTTTGTTTTTTTACCGATTTCAAAAGCTTAAAGTTTGTAGTTGTAGAGTAGCTGTCAGAATCTTACAACAAACAATATTTGTAAATTGTTGTTTATAACCAGTATTCCATTATTATTTTAGCAGGTAGATACAAGATAATAGTAATCAATAAAAAGGTCTAGAATTTCCTGAATGAATACATATCATCCATCACCTTTAATACCAGAACTTTAGACCAGGGGCGATTCTAGAATCTGACCTTTAGGGGTGCTTAGCCCCCAGTGCTGACAATGGTTCTTGGCTTGAACAACATGATGGCCATTGGCATCAGAAGCATTCATAATGTGTGTGTGTGTGTGTGTGTGTGTGTGTGTGTGTGTGTGTGTGTGTGTGTGTGTGTGTGTGTGTGTGTGTGTGTGTGGGGTGGGGGGGTAAGGGACGTAAGGGACACACTGGTGGTGGTGAGGGAATCTGGGGGTCCTCCCCCAGAAAACTTTTGAATAAAGTAGATGTCATTTCCTGCACTTTGGTGTATTTTAACAGATTGTTAAACATCTATGTTTACCTACATAAGTTAACACTTGAGTTGATAACTATTTTAGAGCTTGGCACAACAAGAAGTAGCGTTAAGCTAGCAGTGTGCAATACAGACGTGCTAACTAAGATCCTAAAGCATAGCGCTCTGCTTTACATTACACATGAGGGCTATGTTCTGACAAAGGAAAGTATTGTATATTAAAAATATTATCAGTATCGGTTATCGGCCAAATAACTTTTAACATATCAGCATATGGCCACAGGGCTTGATCAATCTTTTACATTTTTACAGACCCACTGCTTTAGACTAAGATCATCTTAAGGTGAGAAATGACAGTTATGGCCATTTTCATCAAACCTTAAAATGTCATTAGGTGCAGTTAGGGATGCACAATATTGGATTTTTGGCTGATATCCGATATGCTGATATGTTAAAACTTATTTGGCCGATAACCGATACTGATAATATTTTTAATATACAATACTTTCCTTTGTCAGAACATAGCCCTCTTATTTAGGCTTATTTGCTACAAAAATTGTGTAACAGCCGTAAGAGCTGGTGACATATATTCAGTAACAGCCACATGCATAGCACTTTAACTTATATTAAATGCAAAGTGTTAAATGTTGTTTATGGCTTGCTACTCAGGTAAGGCTACGTCGGACAAATATCTCTGACTTGAGGACGATGTAGCAAGGCTCAACCTAGACCAAAAATATTTGGAATACAATGTAATCCAATATCCTCAAAGAAAAAAAAAAACCTTCCACACCGCCGACATTTTGACTTCTTCCTCTGCCATGATGAAATCAGGTAAGCGCCTGTGACGTCATCACGTTGTGCTGGCGTTGCAGGCATCCTTGTCACTGGGTTGTCATAAAAAACAATGTCTTTTATATCAGTGAGTTATTTTGATGGAATGACCGATGTCTGATATTTAACTTTAATGCCACTATTGGCCGATACCGATACCATGCCGATAATATTGTGCATCCCTATAGGTGCAATCTCATGTGACACAAAGACATCTTGTGTGATGCATCATCCATTGTTCTT